CAGAAATCCGAGACTCAGAGAGTGATTAGCAAAAGTTGATATACTATCAACGTCGTGGATGTCTTATCGGATACAAATGCCGAGATTATTGTGCGCACATTTTAGACAAAGTCGACGAGTTGTATGACATGAACGAGCGGCCGACCACATTCATCTACAAGGGAGGGTCAACAGGCATGGGGAAATCACAACTTGCATTTGCATTGGGTGGCCGACGACCTTGGTATTACTGGCTAGCCACTCCAGTTGGATCCGGTTCTAAACGTCTCTGTAGCAATTTTACCTCAATATCGAACGCATTTGCTGCGGTGGTTGAAAAAGACTTTCCAGAGAAGCATATCAAGCATTTATCAGAATGATCTGTTCAGCATCCGTTGGAAATTCAAAACCGTCAAATGTTTCTATGTCTTTTTGTGATTCGATATGTTCCATTAGAAATATCGATCGCCGCATTTACATTGAATGATATTGTGTGTTTTTTTTCACGTCATGTTGAAACAAGTTGTCGATTCTTCAACTTTCTATCCATATCGGTGTTATTTATAATTTGTAATATAACATTCAAATAATTTTGGAATGGACGGTATAATTGATACTTTTTGTAGGGAAAATATGCGCAGCTCTTGGCGATATCGCATTCAAACGTCATCGCTTGCGGAGAGACGACGAAGTGAAGGATATAACTGCACAAGGTCAGTCGTTGGCGACGAACGCCATGCCTTGGAAACCCACATGCCTTTTTCCGCCAATCAACAAAGACGTACTGTTGTATCTGGCGATCTTGGGTGGGAGCCAAAAACGGAATGATCCTCTTCGACACATTTGTGAAGTCTTCTGCATATCCTTTAAATAAATTACTTGCAGACATGCTTCTATTGGTATTTCTGCAATGCATCTCCATCTTCTTCCACAACTTGTCTTGAAATTCACCAAGGAAACCCTCAAAGAAGTCATTAAATGGAATGCCTTGTACACCATTTCGCCATGAAGAAGTAAATATTCTAGTGCGTGATCATATTCTCAAACGACTTGTAGTTGTTAGACACAGCGTTGGAACAGAAAACACTTTTGTTTTCGCAAAAATGCACTTGATAGAGTAATGCTTATTGCCTTTGTAGTCGTACTAGCTTCATCCAATTCGGAGTGGCGGCCATTCATTTTGACACTAATCGTAATGTTTGCAGATTTGGCCATTTGGTCCGAGCTTGCAATGCGGGTAGACGTACAAGATGTGGAGAGTGAGCACGAAAAAGCAATTTTTCTTTGTGAGTGCAAGTATTGGGACAAGAACGTGGATATATCTGCAATGAGAGCGATCATTGATGGACTGAACCAGAAATGGCAATTGGAGGTCGTGCTGCTTTTTTGTATGAAGCTGGCAAGTTACTGTAAGGAATGGGAAAATCCAGACATTGGATGTGTCAAAGTTGATTTTTCAACCCAACCGAAACAATCGAAGACGTCTGCTCGTCGAAACATGCAATAACTATTAATTTATACTCCAAGGGGAAATCTGCGGCGCATGTATCTTTCGATGGAAGAGTCAAGCAAGCTCAGCGGAGCAAACGCTGCCAATTTCGCTGTCTGTAGCTTCCAAAACGCGTCATTTGCACATGTTGAGAGATTTTAAATTTGTGACTTTGATTTAAATATCTTGGAACACTCCCGCTTCGAGCTCATAAACGCTTTTTCTTCGTGTATTCTCAGACTGACATGTGCACAGGCATCGTCCAGCACGCGGCATAGCTCGACCTCGCTTGTTTCAACCACAAATTCCACTACTCGTTCCATAAAATACCTTGCGAATCGTGCACGAGAATGCATCACAATGTCTTGCACAACAGGATATTTTGCCACAATTTTCAGCCACGTTTGTTGGTCTTCCAATGTATCCAGCACTATTTGATAGCTGGGAAATACTGGAACAAGCGCTAACCATCCGATCTCAACG